CAGGCTTTATATTTGTTTTGTTTTATTTGAGATGGAGTCTTGCTCTGTCACTCGGGCTGGAGTGCAATGGTGCGATCTTGGTTCACTGCAACCTCTGCCTCCCAGGTTCAGGCGATTCTCCTGTCTCAGCCTCCTGAGTAGGTGGGATTACAGGCATGTGCCACCACGCCAACTTTTTGTATTTTAGTAGACATGGGGTTTCACCATGTTGCCCAGGTTGGTCTCGAACTCCTGAGCTCAGGCAATCCACCCGCCTCGGCCTCCCAAAGTGCCAGGATTACAAGCATGAACCACCCCACCCAGTCCAGGCTCTGTAAACAGGCTTCGTGTTAGATGATTTTGCCCAACTGTAGGCCAAAGTGAGTTGTTCTGAGCATGTCTGAGGTAGGCCTAGCTAAGCTATGATGTTTCATAGATACATTAAATGTATTTAACTCATGATATTTTCAATTTACAATGGCCTTATCTGAGCATAACCACATTGTCAGTCAAGTCATACATATATTTACTAAAGTAGATCACTTTGGGGACCATAAGACATCTCAAAACTCATTTTAAAAGATTCTATAGTAGGGCCAGGGGCAGTGAGTCACGCCTGTAATCTCAGCACTTTGGGAGGCTGAGGTGGGCAGATCACGAGGTCAGGAGTTCAATATCAGCCTGACCAACATGGTGAAATGCCATCTCTACTAAAAATACAAAAATTACCTAGGCGTGGTGGTAGCTGCCTGTAATCCCAGCTACTCAGGGGGCTGAGGCAGGAGAATCACTTGAATCCGGGAGATGGAGGTCATGGTGAGTCAAGATCACACCATTGCACTCCAGCCTGGGCAACAGAGTGAGACTCCATCTCAAAAAAAAAAAAAAGATACTGTAGTACAATTGGTCTGGTCTTCGTTCAGCGTTCCTAGACACCGAGCTCCTAAAACCCATGGAATTTCCTAAACAACAGGAGTGCCTTCATTATTCATGGTAAGCCCTGAAAGTGTATGCTAATGATGTGACCCACAGTGGGCCCTAGACAGCTAATGCTAACAAGATGATTTAGGATGGAGGTAGCTCATGTCAAAAAAATAACCATGATTAGGGTGTTGAGGCTTTGAGCCAGCCTGATGTCCAGGTAGAGGAGGGAAGCTGGAGATTAAGTTCAATCACACAGTAAAGATTTTAATAAATCATGCCCACGTAATGAAACCCCAGAGAAAACACTGGACTTCCTGATTACTTGATATGTTTTATTTCTTGACTTGGGTAGTTACACAGTTGTTACTATTACTCATTAACATGTCCATTTATGCTTATGTACCTTTCTATATACAGATTTTAAAATAGAAGTTTTTTAATATTGAAAACAATCCAGATTTGATGGAAGACACAAATCTGCAGATTCAGAATAAACCTAAATCCATGATAAATCTACAGCTAGACATATAATAAAAACTGCACATCTCCAAAGGAAAAGATATTATCTTAGAACAGCTCAAGAGATGTCAGTTCTAAATCTAAAGCTCTAAGGACATAATTTCAGAAAGTATAAAGAATTTTACCTAGAAGGAACATCTGACACACAAGAAAAAAGGTAAGCTCCCACCATGTCCCATCAAAAAAGATAAACGTTTGGGCAAATCTAAACAAACATTGATTATATAAAATACTAATAATATCCAATTTGGAGATTCAATAAAGAACTTGTGGAATTTAATTAGAATTAATGTTATTTCAATACCTTTGTGTTATTTGGAAAGAGGGTAGCATTTTTAGATGTTTAAGGATAATCAAAAGTACTTGTAACATTCACATTCCAAATCAGTAAAGGGAAAAATATATGATTAAATAGAAAATCCAGCTGATACCAAAAGACAGGAGGAGAGATAAAGGTGAGAAAGAAGCATAACATAGAAAAAAGAAATATGGTAAAAAATAAGATGGCAAAAAATAAATCCAAATAAATTTGTACTTTGGCACTACAGTGGAATAGACACTTTTTAAAAGTGTTCTCCCAGTACAAAACACTAGATCTTGGAGAAAACAGACCTCTTAATTCATTGCTGGTTTGTACCATATAGGGAAAATCTCCAGGCCTACACTCAAGACAGAAACTCCCTCTATATTATACACTCAAGACAGAAACAGAAAAAAAAATACCCTCTACACTCAAGACAGATACAGAAAAAAAAACTTGAGCTGAAACAAAAGCAAGAAAGCAGCAGGAAGCATCAAGCAAGAAGACAGCTTGAAAGATGGGGTTTATCCCTGAAGGCAGATAGCTTCGGCCTGTTAGTTTGCAATTGACCTGCAGAGACAAAACCTTCAGCTAGTAGTAAGGGTTAGGGAGCTTAAACTTAAGACAAGGCATTGGCATTCAATCAGGATCCTCAAAGGTGAATAGAGTATGCCAAGGAGTTTGTACCACCTCACCCAGAGAAGCAACGAACTCAAATCATACTGAAGGGAAACACACAACTTAGGTCCTCTGTCTTCTCACGGATTAACACATACTCAAGGAAATAAGTCACAATATAGGCAATAAATAATAACCTTAAATGTAAACTTATAAAAACTTAAAATATTGAAATTATCAAAAATATCAAATATTTGACTTTTAAAAATTAGAAATAGACTTACAAGGGACTGTAATCAGTAAATAGGAAGTTAAAAAGAATCAAATGAAAAATATATTTATTGAAATTAAAACCATCATTGTTTTCAACAGCAGGTGAGATGCTACTGAAAAATGAACTAGTAAACAGAAAGATACAGCTGATGAAATTACCCAAAATGCAGTAATAAGAAACAAGAGGATGAAAAATGCGAGAAATTAAAAGATATGAAGGATACAGTAAGAAAGTCTATCATTTGTATACGGTCCTAGAACAGGGAAGAAATATTTGAAGAGCTAGTGATTGATAATTTTACAGAACATGAATTTAAAAATACAGGAAGAAGCCAGTATATGCTAAGAATAAAAAGAAATTCGCACTTCCAAATAATACAGTAAACTTGCAAAACATCAAAAAGAGATAATCTTAAAAACAGAGAAAAAAGATCCCATAAAAAGTTGATTCTGAGACCCAAAAATGTTGAGACTAACTTAAAACCACAAAATAAGTAGCATAACTGTGACACAGCCCCTACATTCTCAATCTATGAAATGTATTTTTAACTATTTTACCTTCTCTTTCTAAGCTGGACAAAACCATTCACTTTGTTTACTTAGCCATTTTTTCTTAAGACCCTTCTAGAAAGTTCCTGAAATCATTACAAGGATTATAAAATGTTTTAATGAATTTTTTACAAAAAGTTATATATCCCTTCCATAAGTTTAATTACCTTACTGGAATACTTCATGTAAAAAAATACTATGTTCCTTGATTCAGAATACTAAATATTTGCATGGTGAACAATTTCTGATGTTCTTGCTCCAAGTTACTTTTCTTGATAACCTCAAACTACCTATTTAAAATCTTCCGTGTTAGCGTATTTTCAAATTCCAAGGAATCCAAAACTAAGTTAAAATTTCAGACCTGGGGCCGGGCGCAATGGCTCACACCTGTAATCCCAGCACTTTGGGAGGACAAGGTGGGGGATCACCTGAGATCAGGAGTTCAAGAATATCCTGGCCAATATGGTGAAATGTGGTTTCTACTAAAAATACAAAATAAAAATACAAAAATGTGCTGGGTGTGGTAGGGCATGCCTGTAATCCCAGCTGAGGCAGGAGAATTGCTTGAACCTGGGAGATGGAGGTTGCAGTGAGCTGGGATCGCGCCACTGTACTCCACCCTGGGCGACAGAGTGAGGCTCTGTCTCCAGGAAAAAAAAAAAAAAAAAAAAGGAAAGAAAATTTCAGATCTAGAAGAAAGTATTTTTAAGCTACTCTTTGGTTCATATTTGTGTACGTTATTTTTAAAGTCCCTCCTTTTTTTTTTTTTTTTTTTGAGACGGAGTCTCGCTGTGTCTCCCAGGCTGGAGTGCAGTGGCGTGATCTCGGCTCACTGCAAGCTCCGCCTCCCGGGTTCACGCCATTCTCCCGCCTCAGCCTCCCAAGTAGCTGAGACTACAGGCGCCCGCCACCACGCCCGGCTAGTTTTTTGTATTTTTAGTAGAGACGGGGTTTCACCATGTTAGCCAGGATAGTCTCAATCTCCTGACCTCGTGATCCACCCGCCTCGGCCCAAGTCTCTTCTTTATATGTGCAAAAATTATAAACTTGAGACCATGATACTCCCATATTGGTGCTGGGGGATACTTTAGTATATTGTATAAACATCCTCTATGTCTTGCAAATTATATAACACATTCTCAATCTTATATCCAATTTTTAGTTTAGCAGGCAAAAGAAGACAGTAACAATGGGAGAAAGAAGACGTCCACCAATTTAGTAATGGTCTGTATTTGTGGTTGTTATGACAACCTAATATCATCTCCAAATGTAGGCAAGATACAAAAACATGTAACTCAGTGCTTTTAGGCCCTTCAAACTAGCTGGAAAGAAATGGACTTCTTCCATTATCCAGTATGCTTATAGGCCCATCACCTTGCATTTCTGGTGTCCATCTTTCCCTTAATTTACTTGCATGGAGAGTTCCTTCTACCACTGTTCTCTACAACATACACTGTTCTCTCACTTCAACTCCCCACCCTGGCCCTAGCCAAACCATTCATTCATTCATTCATTCAATGTTTATTGAATGGCCCTTGTGTGCTGTGTATTGTGGTAGATTATTGGTGTATGAAGAAGCATTAATTGAATATAAATTGCTTTGGTATTTTAAAAGTCAACATACTAAATGTAATGTACTTTAGTCAAAACTGTCTATATTTTTAATAGGTTAGTTGGCAGTAGGATTTGCTATTTGGTTATATCCTAACAGGCTGCATTTGAGATATTCCACATATCATAGGAAAAAAAAATGTGTCCTTTACCATAGCAACGATTTGGCTATTTTTTATATACAAGCATATACATCTCCCCACCAATTCATGAAAAATATTCTAGGTTGACCATGTATTCTTTTTATTGAAAAGCAATATAAAACAGCTTTAGACAGAAAAGATAGTATTTTACATTATTTCTTCTGTTATATTTTTATGCTTTGTGCCAGAATTTACTTCCTGCAACTATTCTTGCTTTATCTCGAACAGTTTACTCCATTATTGAATATCTATTAGTGTTTTAATATAGAAGAGCTTAATAAACTGCTAATCTGAAAATAATGGTATTCCCTAGATTTTCAGACTTTTTTGCTGAATATGCTTATTTATGTCCAATGTGGAAATCTGATCCTGTTCTCTTCCACTCTGCCAGCAGTTCCTTTTGTACTACTTCTGGTAGTTCATAGAAAACTTGAGGATCAATGTCAGAAGGGAAAGTAATTTTCTCATCAACAGAATCTGGCTCTCTATTTTCTGTAAGTCCTTCATGAGAGTCTGTTGCTACTGTTTGCTTATGGCTATCTGTAGTGTGGTTTTTGGAGAAAAGTTGCTCACTCTGCAAGTTTGGAAATGAATGAAAAGCAGACACAGCAGGGTTTGAATTTGTAAAGTGGAATCCTTGAGGTTCTTTAGGTCCTTGACTCATTCGTTCATCTTTTAATCTATTATCTAAATAATATGAATAATCCTTTTGGCTAGACATATAAGAACTACCGCTATTTAAGCCTGATGTTCCTGGTTCACAAGGAGATACAGAGGATACCTGTTTGCGACTGGATAAATGATCTCTAGGATTTATGGGAATATCTTGCATTTGTTTTTTAGAAAAGAAAGATAATACTCCTCTAGAGGCATGTAATGGACAACTCACACTTCCTTTCCCTTGAAATTTTTCCCTAGATTTTCCAGAAAGGATTTCTTCTTGAATATCTGTTGGAAGCTGCTTAAAGACTTCTTGATCAACACCTTCAGGAAGTGAACAGAGTGGGAATTCATTAATATCTTTTCTTTTAGAAAAATTTGTGGTATCTAGTGGATACTCCCTAGTTCTTGTACTTTCAATTCTTCCACTTGGTAAGAAATCCCAGTTTGTTTCTTTGTCTTTGGGAAAATCTTCCATATGAGTGTCTTTCATTTTCTAGAACACAAGAATAACAGATTAATTTAGATATCTGATATGTTTTAAATATCCCTGCTGCTGCTATGTGCCTGTAGCTATTATCTGACATGTTTCTAACCTACTCAGCAAATTCAACTCTTTGTGGTCTGTTCCAAATAACTAGAGATCTACTACCACAATTAGTCACACTATTTTGTGAATCTTTACCCCCTATTCCAGGAAGAGGTTTCCTTCCTAGATAGCACCGAGACAGAGGTAAACATGCATTTGGAGACCTGGGAAGAGTGTAACAATCATGCAACCAAACTTTCAATTCTATAAATACAAGAATGGTGGCCTAGAGAACACAAGTTCACCTAAGGGTATTTTTCAGAAAAACATACACATACAGCATCAAGGGCTAGTTTTCCAAAAATTATTATTCTAAAGGGTAACTTTTAACAAAAAGATAAAAAAGTCTATAACAAAAACCCAACATCATCAAGATATAATACGAGTTTATATTTATATAAAAATTGAAAGACATTTTCAACTCTAACTTGTGTAATTTTCCTATAGTTTTTCATTTAAATGTCTCCTCTAGTTTTAAGCAGCATAAAAATATAAACATAGTCAAATATAACTCAGTAAACATCAACACAATATGAACTCCAAAAAAGTAAAAGGAGTAGAAAAGATTCAGGCCCTTATATTTATTGAATACCTACTGTGTGACAAATATATACAAGGTACTTTCACTTATATTTACTTCTCTAATGCCACTATAAGTGAGCACTTTTAATTCCAATTTCACCGAATAAAATGTAAACAGAAAACACTTTTTCAAATTTAATAGATGGAATAAAAAGGGTCACAGAAAAAAGTAATTTGAAGACACCATTAATTCACTATTTGCATACACTATACTGTTCTCACTTTAAACTTAAATGAAAATGAAAAGGTTACTAAAATTATACTGACAAAACAAACAAAAAAATATTTTAAATTGAGTTAATTATAGGCATGAACAATTTAGTAAAAAATAATTATTTTTAAGGTAACCCACATTTACTAAATAGTGGTCTATTAGTAAAGGGGTTTTGTTTTAGTCGTCTGAAAATGTGACTGGCCTCTGCCTTTCTATTGTCACACTGTTAACTTTACAACTGTAAAATCAGTAGTCAATTCTATCAATATCGCTATCAAAATTCACTACTATTTCAAAACCAAGAAAATGTAAATACTTTAACAAAAGAATCGTGGGAAAGGTACTGGTAACTCATATGTCAGCTAAAAGACAAAAAGATGTGACTTCTAATACCTGAAAATATTTTAATACTTATGAGCTAATCCATCATATTTTTATAGAGCACATATTTTTATAAAATGTGTTAACAATTCCAAAATAGAGAACCTCCATAATGGTTCTCTCTTTTATCCAGTGATGCTTATGTTTTCTTCTTAGATCACAGTATATTTAAGGCCAGCAACCGTAAGATAGGTATTGTAAACAAGTTAATTACCTAAACAATATCACCCAAAAGAATCTCTAAACTCTATCAAAAAGACAAGCACTTAGATTTGTAATTTAACCACACAAATCCCATAAGGGTATACTTAGAAAACTGAACAAAAAAGAGTATACTTACAAAACTGTGCTTGCCAGGGCATGAAGTTGTTGATAATGATGGCGTTAAATAATAATCAATAAGCCCTCTCTTAGCAGTATTTACTGCTTTAAGGTTGCAGAAGCACACACTTAGAAGGGTAAGGTGAAATGGCATCTTCACATTCACCATATTTCGAAAAAGTTTCATTAGTATATCAACCATTGGGGTCATCACATCATAATTTCCTAAATAAAATGTTAAGAAGATAATAAACATAATTAATATTAAGAGCATAATATATTTTATATTGCTGAGATTAAGAAATTAAAATCCTAAATAAGTATCACTGGGCATCTTGACATTATATAACAAATTAAGACATTTCAACATTAATACCAAATGGTTAAAATTTTTCAAAAGATTTGAAATATGGTATTTCTGGTTATAGTACAGTGATATGGTCAGAAAATCCGCTCTCAAAAAGCTACTATAAAACTGAACATTGTCAAAAACAATCATTTTGGTGGAAATCTGGAAATGAACCAAAGGCAAACAAAGTAAGAAGTACTGATTTATGAACAGCTGCTATATGTTAGCTAACAAAGTAGGAGACTTTGTCTGGGACTTCATTGTCTGGGACCGTTCGAATGGCCCTTTACATACCTCAGTTGGTACAGGGTGAAGGCTGCAAAAGTCAGCAGTTTCACTTCTAGAGGAGACAGACCTGATTTGAGGCAGAGGGCAAAAGCCCACACTTAGCAACATTGCCAGTAAAATGAGCAAACTTGATAGGAAATGAATGGGAAGATCCCACAGCTCTGCTAGTCTGAGGCTTTAGTTGTGGTTGGGATGAATGACAGATCAGTGGACCAGCCAGAAATGTCACCAGGAGATTTGGAAATAAGAGAACCAAAGAGGGACTACATAGGCTCCCCTCACAACCTTAGCTGACTAGGAGGCTACATGCAAATAAACGGAAGGCCACAGAGGGCCTAAGCTCTCCATACACTCATTGAAAGGGCTACATGCATGTCACGGGGAGATAAAGAGGGCCTAGCAGAAATTAAAATTCAAGAAAAACTTGAAAATGGCCTAATTTTTTTTCTTTTATACTTTAAGTTCTGGGGTACATGTGCACAATGTGTAGGTTTGTTACATAGGTATACATGTGCCCTGTTGGTTTGCTGCACCTATCAACTCACCATTTACATTAGGTATTTCTCCTAATGCTATCCCTCCCTCAGCTCCCCACCCCCCAATAGGCCCCGGTGTGTGATGTTCCCCTCCCTGTGTCCATGTGTCCTCATTGTTCAACTCCCACTTATGAGTGAGAACATGTGGTGTTTGGTTTTCTATCCTTGTGATAGTTTTCTGAGAATGATGGTTTCCAGCTTCATTCATGTCCCTGCAAAGAACATGAACTCATCCTTTCTTACGGCTGCATAGTATTCCATAGTGTGTATGTGCCACATTTTCTTTATCCAGTCTATTACTGATGGATATTTGGGTTGGTTCCAAGCCTTTGCTATTGTGAATAGTGCCGCAATAAACATACACGTGCATGTGTCTTTATAGCAGCATGATTTATAATCCTTTGGGTATATACCCAGTAATGGGATGGCTGGGTCAAATGGAATTTCTAGTTCTAGATCCTTGAGGAATCGCTACACTGTCCTCCACAATGGTTGAACTAATTTACACTCCCACCGACAGTGTAAAAGCATTCCTATTTCTCCAGCATCTGTTATTTCCTGACTTTTTAATAATCGGCATTCTAACTGGCATGAGGTGGTATCTCATTGTGGTTTTGATTTGCATTTCTCTAATGACCAGTGATGATGAGCATTTTTTCTTGTGTCTGTTGGCTGCATAAATGTCTTCTTTTGGGAAGTGTCTGTTCGTATCCTTGGCCCACTTGTTGATGGGGTTGTTTGCTTTTTTTTTGTAAATCTGTTTAACTTTTTTGTAGATTCTGGATATTAGCCCTTTGTCAGATGGATAGATTGCAAAAATTTTCTCCCATTCTGTAGTTTGCCTGTTCACTCTGTTGATAGTTTCTTTTGCTGTGCAGAAGCTCTTTAGTTTAATTAGATTCCATTTGTCAATTTTGGCTTTTGCTGCCATTGCTTTCAGTGTTTTAGTCAATGAGGTCTTTGCCCATGCTTATGTCCTGAATGGTATTGTCTAGGTTTTCTTCTAGGGTTTTTATGATTTCAGGTCTAACATTTAAGTCTTTAATCCATCTTGAGTTAAATTTTGTGTAAGGTGTAAGGAAGGGATCCAGTTTTAGCTTTCTACATAAGGCTAGCCAGTTTTCCCAGCACCATTTATTATATAGGGAATCCTTTCCCCATTTCTTGTTTTTGTCAGGTTTGTCAAAGATCATCAGATAGTTGTAGATGTGTGGTTATTTCTGAGGCCTCTGTTCTGTTCCATTGGTCTATACATCTGTTTTGGTACCAGCACCATGCTGTTTTGGTTACTGTAGCCTTGCAGTATAATTTGAAGTAAGGTAGTGTGATGCCTCCAGCTTTGTTCTTTTTGCTTAGGATTGTGTTGGCTATGTGGGCTTTTTTGGTTCCATATGAAATTTAAAGTATTTTTTTTCCAATTCTGTGAAGAAAGTCAGTGGTAGCTTGATGGGGATAGCACTAAATCTATAAATTACTTTGGGCAGTATGGGAAAATGGCCTAAATATTTTAAGTCCTTTCCAACCCATACACTTATCCACTGGCAGAGGCAGACAGCTTCCAGACTGTAGTGTTTGAGCAGAACCTTTGCCAAACATTGGCTAACCATGAAACTATACAGACATGGGCAACTTCCCAGAAGCCCATATTAAAATAAAAATTTGAATTTAAAAAAAAAAAAAAAAAAAAAAAAAAAAAAAAAAAAAAAGAACACTGAGCAGAGAAATCAGTGGCTACAGAACCCAGGGGAGGTAGATTCTGCAGATTACGTTCAGACAAGTTACCTAAAAAAAAGTACAGGAAAGAAAAAAAAAACCCTACAAGAAAAAATTTTAAATCCACAGTTGCTACAATACATTATCTATGAGGTCTAGTTTTCAATAAAATAGTTCAAAACATGCAAAGAAACAGGAAAGTGTGATACATATTTGGGGGAAAAAGCAGTTAACATAAATTGACTTTGAGGTGGACTTAGCAAAGACTTCAAATTCATTATTATAGATATGTCCAAAGAATTAAAGACAACCATGTTTAAAGAATTAAAGCAAAATATAATGAGTACAAAAAAAGGAGAATCTCGATAAAGAAACAAAACCAAACATAAAAACAAAAGACAAACAGAAATTCTAGAGTTAAAAAGCACAGTAACCAAAACCAACAAATCACTACAGGGGCAATGGCAGTTATGAGATACAGATGAATCAGAGACCTTAAAGGCAGCTCAATACAGATTATCTACTTTGTAAGAAAGAACAGAAAAAAAAGATTGCAGAAAAATAAACAGAGCAGCAGAGACCATCATAGGGTGGAATCGGTGTAAGGATAAACATATAGACCAATGAAACAAGAAAGTCAGGAAATAAACTCTTATATTTATGGTCAATTAATTTTTGACAAAGATGCCATGGTAATTCAATGGGTGAAGAAAAATCTTCAACAAATGATGCAGGAACAACTGGATACCCACATGCAAAGCAAAGAATTAAGTCCCTTACCATATACCACACATAAAAAATTAACTCAAAATGGACATAAACATAAAGCTTAAAAACTATAAAACTTCTAACAGAAAACAGAATATGTGACCTCTGAGTTAGGCAAAGAATTTTTACATATAACACCAAAAACACTATCCATAAAAGAAAAACCACACTACTATATACCACTAGAACAACTATAATCGAAGAGACTGACAATACAAATATTGGCAAAAATATGAAAAACTGGAACCTTCATATATTGTTGATGAAAATGTAAATTATTACATGAACTTTGGAAAAAGTTGGCAGTTTCTTAAACAGTTCATGTTCCCATATGATCCAGCAATTCCACTCCTTAAAATCTACCCAAGATAAAGGAAAACATATGCATATGCCCATCCAATGACTTGCACTTAAATGTTCTTCAAAATGGAAACAATCTAAATGCCCATAAAGACTCATGCTATCAGTTATCACAGTTTTGTTCTCTTTGAACTTGGAAAACATTCTTAAATGACTCTTATCTATTTAAAAACCAGGCCAGGTCCAGTGGTTCATGCCCATAATCCGAGCACTGTGGGAGGCTGAGGCAGAAAGATTGCTTGAGCTCAGGAGTTTGAGACCTTGTCTATCCTAAATGTCAAAAAAAGTTAGCCAGGTCTGGTAGCATGCACCTACGGTCCCAGCTACCCGGGAGGCTGGGGTAGAAGAATTGTTTGAGCCGGGGAGACGAAGGCTGCAGTGAGCTATCACAGCACCACTGCACTTCAGCCTTCGTGCAGAGCAAGACCCTGTCTCAAAAAATAAATAAATACATAAACAAACAAACAACAAAGTTTTCTGGTGAAAATTCCTGATAGAATAAAAGCATTTAATTGCTTGCTAATTCCCTGTGAAGACCCTCCATTTTTGGAGCATATTTCTAGTTCAAAGTTGGCTTGTTTAAGAGTTCAACCTGCTAATGAAACTGTTGGAAAACTAGTCCATACCTGTCCCTAACTTCTGAATTATATGTGATGGAATAGGGCACTGACGACTCTCACGACCACAGTGCTTCTCAGAGGGATATCGACGGATTATTAATCTTACTGTATGAGGCTTCCTTCCATCTTGGCATACTCTAAAAATAAAGAGAAAGTGGAAATAAGGAATTAGAAAAGTATTACCTTTTTAAATTATATAACACCTCATTAATTTAAAGGTGCCAGATTTTGTTAAATATAACAATTATACATATAGTAGATAACAAAATAGTAAGCAATAAAGGTCCCTGAGTATCCAAATAATCATCGCAAAGTCTATGCACTAAAACTCTGAATGTTTAGATGTCAAGCTCTCAGGCCTCACTCAGAATTGAGTGCTGTCAGAAATAGAAGAGATATAAGATATAATCAAAACAAGTTGTTTTATAATACAAATTCAAAACAAAACTAAAAGCAACCAATTTTTTTTTTCAAGATGGAATCTCGCTCTGTTGCCCAGGCTGGAGTGTGGTGGCACAATCTCAGCTCACTGCAACCTCCACTTCCCAGGTTCAAGCAGTTTTCCTGCCTCAACCTCCTGAGTAGCTTGGACTACAGGCACGTGTGACCACACCTGGCTAATTTTTGTATTTTTAGTAGAGAGGTGGTTTTGCCATGTTGGCCAGGCTGCTCTCGAACTCCTGACCTCAGGTGATCCCCCACCTCAGCCTCCCAAAATGCTGGGATTACAGACGTAAGTCACCACACCTAGCCAAAAGGCAGCAAATTAAAATCAGCAGGAAATTTAAGAAACTGAATCATTCACTAACAAAAGCAAGTAAGTGAAAAATAACAAAATAACTTTTTTCAAACTTTTTTCTTATGAGATTACCAAAAAAAAGATTTTTTTTTTACAAAATGAGATTACTCTTGTTAAAGAGTAATCACTATTACCATTATATGATAGCTTATTAGAGCAATATCTTCAAAGATCATATGCTATATTTAGTATATAATTAATATACAATATGTGCACATGCATTTTTAAAAAGAGTTTCATCCAATTGTCTTGGTTTTGGTATTGAAACAAAGGTTTTAATTATATGACAAATTCACTTAAGAAGTACAAAACCTAATTAATGGAAAAAAAGTCATTAAAGGATAACATTTCCCCTTTTATACACATGGCAACGCATATAAAACCAAATCTCAGACATAAAATGCAAATATTGCATATTGTTAAACACACTCAACTTGAAGATTCTGATCTGAAAAAAACAGTTTTGGGCCAGGCACGGTGGCTTATACCTGTAATCTCAACACTTTGGGAAGTTCAGGTAGGAGGATCACTTGAGCCCAGGAGTTCAAGACCAGCCTGGGCAACATAGCGAGACCTCATCTACAAAAATTTAAAAATTAGCTAGGCTTTATGGCAGGTGCTTTCCCAGCTATTCTGGAGGCTGAGGTGGGAGGACTGCTTGAGCCCAGGAGGCTGAGGCTGCAGTGAGCCATGATTGCACTATTGCATTCCAGCCTGGGTGACAGAGCAAGACCCTATCGCAAAAAAATAAAAAATAAAATAGTTCTGTATTAAATAAATTTTTTCTATCTCTTATTGCTTTGTGACAAAACTTCTCGATGGCTGCTTAACTAGGATAATAAAATACCTTAAATGGCTACTAGTTTAAATATCTTCCAGTTAAACGTGTTCTATTAATTATGCAATTCAAAGAGTATGATATGCTAATTAAGACACATTAGAAAAAGGCTGAATCATAAGCAATATTAAACTAGTGCCTAGAGGATGGATTAAAAATAATATGGTTTTTACATTTCTTACATACCTATAGTATTAATCATAACATACTCTAGAGAAAACAAAAGTAAGTATACACAAATACACACAGACACTCCTGTAATTTTTTTTTTTGCAAGTCACTTAGATGGTGTTATAATTCAGTCACTGAAATAAGGGCCCGTGGTGTGGGAGAAAAGGAGCTGGCAAGCAGAGATACAGATAAATGGTTAATTTCACAGGTTTTGTATTTCACAGGTTTAGAGCACCTGGTCTCACTTCTGGGTTGACTCTTCAAATAAGAGAACCTGTAAAACTTATACTTCTTGCGGTTTTTCTACGTGAAGAACTGTCTCCAAATGTTAGGCATTTCAGAGTAGTCTTCTATTTAGCTGAAGCAAATGACCCAGTTTCACTAGCATACGCGCAGGCCCAGCCTGAGTCATATCACTGAAGCCCAGTCATACAGCCAGCCCCAGCTGCATGCAGCCAACAATGAGCTACATGGCTCTGCTCAAGACATTTGAGCGCCACGTTGCATACAACAGCAAAGTTGGAGGAAATTTCACTTCATCAGTTTTCTCAGACTTAGAACCATCCAAAAACCATTTTCTCTAAATACAGTTAGTCCTCCTAGAATCATTGGAGAAGCACACCTACTCTAAACTGTTAGAGCCCTGAAACCACAATTTGAGAAATTTCTAACAAGAAAAGCAGAAACAAAGAATGGGAAGAAAACAGATAATACTTGTTTGTGGAATATGAATATTGAGAAATACATGTATAATGACAAGGAGCACCACAAAATTAAATTTCCTTTTCAGTTTATCTTGTGCTACTCATATATTTATAACCCCAGGTGATACTCTTCACATACAGATCAGAAACCCTGCACACACCTGCAGTCACTCACCCTGCTCACACATAGCCCCAGCCAGCCATTCTTTCTCCTTCGACTCTATTTTATTTTACAGTCTGAGGCAAAAGAGATACAAGGGTTCTTCTGCTTCTTCCTTCACTGTTACTTTAATAATTTCCTATCCCCAACAATCACAAATTTATATAGCTGTTCCTGTATCAGGAGTTTTAGAATTATGACAGTATTATTCCTCTTTGCATTTTTTTCTTCTTAATGAAATGCAAGTAACTATTAGCAGAGATAAATGGTTAATTTCACACATTTTGTATTTCGCATGTATTTGTATTTAGCATGGTACTAACTTAATGAAATTCAAGTAACTATTAGGTTGAGGGCAAAGGCTTTGCAATTGCCACAGGGAAAAATTAAAACTTCTTCTTCTCACCTGAAGACTAGAGTAAGTCTAAGAATGTTAGAAATATCCATAAAACCCCTTTAGGTAACCATCTGCAGCTTTAGATCCATAGGACAACCACACTGTTACTAGAATTAAGACCAATGAATTAAATTTAGGTAAGAGCCCCTGTTACCATCTTTACAATAGTTTATAATGCAGAGAAATCACATGATAAATTATTTTTACATTGTTTACTCTCCAGATAATCTGTCAGTTCCAAGATGGAACATCAAATATTCTTTCTATATACCGTATACAGAATGAATATATAGGATGACTTGGCAAAATGGATTGAAAATCACCTGTTTAAAAGACTAGCAAGTAGTTCTTCAATCTTATTTTTAGCTTCAACTTCGGATGAACATTTTTTAAATGAATCTTCTTCACTAAAGGACTATCAAAGAAGCATAAATAAGGATTAGTGCAAACTCTAAGAATTATATCTAATTATTATCAGTGTATAGTCAAATAAATATTCAATACATTCTTTACTAACTTACCTCTTGTCCTTAGTTTCAGCCATTTAGTTCACTTTTATATTAACTGTTTTTTATCTGCAAGCTACTGTACTCACTAGAAAGTTAATATCAAATATTACTAAATTAACAGTTAATATAAAACAGTTAATAAAAAATAATTCAAAGTTAATAAAACTCTAAAGCTCTAGTACCAACTCCAAGCTTTATTGTATGATTATGGCAAGACTTCTTAATCACCTAGGACTTGAATCTAAGTTTATCCTTGGACAAACTTAGACTTATATCCTTGGACTATATCCTTGGACCAGTATATGGTCCTCAAGTTATTTAACCTTTCTAAAGTACAGTATCCTCATCTTGAGAGAGAGAGAATGGAAGGAAGGAAGGAAAGAAGAAAGGTAAGAAAGAATGGACAAACAACCGTACTACCTACCTTGATGCTTCGTTGTGAAGATTAAATGGACTAATGTATTTCAAGCACTCAGGAAAGTGCTTGTCCCATAGCAAAAAAAATCAGTCAATGTTAATTGGGTGATTATACCTTTCCCATTTGCTAAATCACTGGACTACTCTGAAAACAAGATTTTTAAAAGATTAAAATATTTTGCCTCATATATGCATTATAGGCTATTAAGTTGCACTGTCTTCAATCATAGTAGCTAACTTAAGATATCAAAATATCAATGCTTAAGATTCAATTTAAGAATACTTATTAATCCAACCTATTAATAATAAATCAGCCTTCTAATAGGAAAGAGATCACATACTAAGCAAACTAGAATAGTAAGAACATGGTACTGTAACTAGAAATCTTTATCTCAAATAATGTGATAACCAGTACTTAATTAAAATAAATATCATCGTGTACCTGCGGTGGTCCTGAGGGTATCACATGGGAGTTATCCTCTCCAAAACTGAGCTTCTGGATACGCTGAGCAAGTGAAATTCCTAATTCTTTTTCTAAAATTTTGGATGAAAAGGTTTGGAGATCATGCACACTATTGATACCCAGTGCTTCAAGACATTTGGCAGTTTTATAGCCAATACCTAAATAAAAAGAAGTGCATACAAAGTTAAAAATAGCTTTTCTCCTTAAAACAAAGCTAATTAAAATATTATAAATATATCAATCATATCTTTAAATTCTATAATTTACACAGTAGTCCCCCCTTATCCACAGGGGATACATTCTAAGACCTTCAGTGGATACCTGAAACCATAGACAGTATCAAACCCTATATACATACAGTACTGTTTTTTCCATTACATATATACCTATGATAAAGTTTAATTTATAAATTAGGCACAATAAGAGGTTAACAATAATAATAAAATAGAACTACAACAATATACTATATACAAGTTATGTGAATGTGGTCTCTGCCTCCCTCTCTCAAAATATCTTAGTATTTTCAAACCACAGTTGACTGCAGGTAACAGAAATTGTGAAAAGTGAAACTGCAGATAACGGGGGACTACTGTATTTTGCAAAGATCAAACTCCATTGCAAACTAGGTTGCTGTTCTTCCACTCAGGGCTCCTGAATTATATGCATCTCTTTGAAGTCCTCACAAAATGCAGCAAAACAAAATGAATACAGAGACAGTCAATAAATGCTGTCTTACTAAAATAAAAATTTTACTACCTGTTATGTAAAATTCCAGAAATATTCAGAAATCATGATTATTATTAATGTACAAAAAGGCTGCCACTAGAGCAATTAAAATGAATTAAGTGTACATATTAGGTAAACTAACTGGTTCCTATATGCACCACCATATATTTATCCATAAGTCATATCTAACATTTACCATCCAGAATACAGCTATGAGCCAGAAAGCAAACAAAACAAAAAATCTTGCTAGCAAAACTGTCACAAAGTTCTTGCACTAAAATTCAGTCATACTTTATCCACAAGAGAAAACACTCAGGCCATTTAGTGTCTCCTTATTCTTTTCATTTAAAAATAATAATTCCACAGTTATCTGATTTTCTTGCACAAGAAAAGCCTAAGTTGGAGGAAATGGCTGTGTAGGGGGAATTATGAGAGTGACAGATTTTTCACGCAAAAATAAAAGGCGGCTGGCAATTTGGAAATAAGTGAGAAAGCAGAAAGCCTGTTTAAAAAAAAAAAAAAAGTTACAAGAACTCAAAAGTAAAGCCAAGTAATAATGTTTTGCACCAGTATATAGTCCTCAATTTATTACAACCTGACATTGTTCTTCAGAAGGCAGAACCAAAGTCATCCACAAAATTTCAAATTATAGTTATACTATACTAAGGAAGGCAAGGCAGTGTATAATACATTTTGGAATCACACAAGTATCAGTTAAAAATGTGAAGTTTGACATCTAAGTTTCAGAGGTATTAGAAATTCACTTCCACAGAACTCTTTTATAACATCTTATTCCCCAGCAATACCACAGAAATGTAGTTCAACATATCCATTATCAACGGTCTATAAAAACTTGGGTATTTGATCTGCAAAGAAACAAACTTGCACCATGACCTAAATAGGTCACCAAACTCCTCATGGAAATCAGTTTCCTCATCTTTAAACTGAGGAACCTAGATGTTTTGGAAAGTCCATTGTAGCCTTAATATTTTATATATAATCCCAAAAGAGACTTAGTAAAAGACAAACTCCCCTCTCTAGAGGCAATGTACAGTATAAGAGTATGACCCAGGGACTGGAAATAAAGACCGTATGTTTCTAGGCTATAACTTTTATGACCATATTCTAACCATCCAAAGTAGATAAAATAAGAAAAGTACTTTCACATATTTCTTAATCCAAATTTGCTTCAGAAAACATTATGGTTTTTGTTAGTTTTTTCCAGGAACCAAGTATACACACACATACATGCACACACTCACATACACCTCTACCTAAGAATTAATTACACTGTACCTATAATTTTAAAATTAAAGAAATATAATAAGACATATATGTACTTTTCAAAGATATTTGTCTTACCAGGTATTTCCTTTATGTGATTCAAACTAAGAATAAGATGTTGACAACTTTCCGGTAATAAGACTGTTTGTTGATTTGGTTTAAAGACACCAGAAACTAATTTTGCCAACAGTTTATTAGAAGCCACTCCAGCACAGCCAGTGAGCCCCAAGTGATTATACATGGCTTCCCGCATCTCTGCTGCAATCTGAGATCCAATAAGTAGTCTGATGTGCAAGATGTCATGCAGGTTTATAGCTTTAAAAACAACAAATGTCATTCAAAGTCACAAGAAAAAAACTTTAAAATTTTGTTTTTTACAAAATAATTTTTAAAAGGTAGAAGGCTTAGTCTATATCCAACCACCACCACCACCACCACCACCACCACCACCACCACCTGGTATGGTTGCAATGTTTGTCCCCTCCAAACCTCATGTTGTAATTTGATCCCTAATGTTGGAGGTGGGGTCAAATGGGAGGTGTTGGGATCACAGGGGTGGATCCCTCATGAACAGATTAATGCCCTCCCTCAGGGATGAGTAAGTTTCTCACTGTATTAGCTCCAGAGACAGCTGGTTGTTAAAAGAGCCTAGCACCTCCCCCAGCCCTTGCTTCCTCTCTCACCATGTGATCTCTGTACACACTGGCTCCCCTTTGCCTTCCACCATGAGGCGAAACAGCCTGAGACCCTCACCAGATGCAGAGGCCTAATCTTGACTTTTCCAGCCACAAGAATCATGAACCAAATGAACCTTTTTTTCTTTGTAAATTACCGAGTCTCAGGTATTCTGTTAAAGCAACACTAAATGGACTAAGAGACCACTGCCACCCTGTTATCCACTTGACTAATCTCTTTCATGCTTCATAGGAATACTGTAAACAAATTCAATAAGCAAATTCCAACAGCCTGTGATAGTGACTGTATACTGGGAGTGCTTAATAATTAACACATTATGGAAACTGATCTCATAAAAACATTCCTACTGACATTAACAAAACTTTTACTCATATTTACCTGTAAGTAAGCATAAAAGTACTATTATATAACAAGAAAGCTAACATTATGCTTTAAAGATCTAAATCTTAACCATGCACTAACTATATATGCTGCTGAAAACAATCTCTGACCTGTACATAGTTTTAGAGCTCTTTTATGAAAACTGTAAGAAAATTATATAAAAATAAATTTGCTTTAGGTGTTAAACAGTGTTGGAATTACATGAAACCATCCTAACCTCAAAGAGATTCACACTAAAAGTATTTAGAGATGAAATGTCAGGATGTCTGCCATTTGCTTCCAAATAGCTCATCAACCAACCAAGCGATCCATAGAGAGGACAAGAGAAAGCAAATGTGGCAAAATAACAACTAGTTTATCTACAAGAAAGGACATAATGAGCTGGGCGCAGTGGCTCACGCCTGTAATCCCAGCACTTTGTTTGGGAGGCCAAGGCAAGCAGATCACCTGAGGTTAGGAGTTCAAGACCAGCCTGGCCAACATGGTGAAACCCCATCTCTATTACAAATTAAAAAATTAGCCAGTGTGGTGGCACATGCCTGTAGTCCCAGCTAGTTGGGAGGCTGAGGCAGGAGAACCGCTTGAACCCAGGAGTGGAGGTTGCAGTGAGCCAAGATTGTACCACTGCACTCTGGCCTGGGCGACGGAGTGAGACTGTGTCTCAAAAAAAAAAAAAAAAGAAAAGGACACAATGGGTATTTGTTGTACTATTCTGTCAACTTTCCTGTAGGTTTGAAAAAAATTTTAATAAAATCTGTGTGAAAGATGAAGAATTAATCAATAATTCCACATTTCCTTTTTGGGATATAAAACCTAGCTCTCTATAATGTACTCTAACCAATAAAATCTAAGTTTGCTTTAAAAATTATATAGAAATATATCTGAAATACTCTTGCTACTTAGCCCTTGTAAGTTACAAATGAGCACAAGTACAAAAGATACATGAAAAGCTCCATGTATTATAGAAACTGTAGTTTTACTGCTTTTCTTCTCTGGAGAACTATTCTGTAGACTGATGTCTAGTTCTCAAAAAAGAGGATAAGAGGAAATGCATGGGGAGGCTTAAGAGCAAAAGGGTCAGACAAGTCTTACACAACAGCAGAGTAACTTGTCTTGTATGTGGTATGATAAGGGAGTCACCAGCAGAGTCATAAGATGTCTGAAAGCCTAATTAGATATTCACTGGTGCTTACTACAGCTTATTTTCAAATGTAAATATCCCTGGAAATACCATCAGTCATTCATATCTTAATACATGAAGGAGACAAACCATTCTGCTTTCTTGCTAACTTTGACAAAGATTATTTATAAATAAACAGATTAAATAGGAGCTTAGAGAAGATTCTGGCACATGGCAGATAAGCCTGGACAACATTCCAAAAGTGCTAACTTGGGAAGTCAGAGAGCAACATGAGGGTCTCAGGGGAATCGAAGGGAACATGTAAAAGACACATCAAAGGCAAATCTAGCCTACTTGAAAATTCTGCTTAGAGACTGTCTTAGAATAATCAAAAATTATTCCAAAAAGCATATTAAGAAGCCAACTCTTGCAACTTAAGAATGACCTAAAGAGGTATGGCTTTTTGTTTCTTTAAGAGATGGGATCTTGCTCTGCTGCCCAGGCTGGACTCAAACTCCTGGGTTCAAGCAATCCTCTCAGCTCAATCTCCCAAACAGCTGGGACTACAGGGGCGATCCACTGTGCCCAGCTGGGTATAGCTTTCTAAAATGGGAACAGATGCACTGTGTCAGACGAAAACTCTGCGCAGATGAATGCTCTGTGCAGATGAACAGGAACAAAGGTCTGTGCAAATGAAAAGTGCACAGAGCATTGAGCTACATGTCATCAAAATCTTAATACTTATTATGGAATAGCAACACCTAATTTTAGCTGTTCTAGACAGAGTACTGGCTAAATGTAACTCTACCTCCAACAAAAGTCATGAAACTTTCAGAATCACACAGCAAATTCACTGAACATTAAGAAATGTATGTACTTTTAGTTAGTAGGTAGAATCAATAAGAACCCACTCACACTGATTATTGTACACATGACCCGACACAGTCACCGCAGAAAGTTCATCACTTTGCAGCTGCTGTAGTCTCTTCTCAACCATTTCTGTTAGATCCACAAAATTTTCATCAAATCCAAGTCTCTCAACAACTGGACTAAATTCTTCCAGTAATTCTAAATTGAAATAATATTGGAGCACAGATGTAAATGAAGTTATAACTAGGATAAATTTAACTATCTAGTGCTTAAAACTATATCAAATTTATTGTTAAAGGTTTTATATACATTCATAGTTCCATAATATCTTCTTCACAATTTTCACAAATACCAAAAGTGCTTTTTTTTGTTGATGTCAACATTGACAATGTAAGGGGAAACCAATAAAGATAACAACGTGACACAGTAAACACCAAAAATCACTCCTGAGAAAACTATTACCTAGAGAAAACTATTACCTCCTTTCAGGACAGATGGACAATATGTCTGATCATAGAAAATCATTATTTTGCATTTCCTTCATCAATTTCTGCAATTTATTTTCTAAAGTATATACCTGATATGCAAAGTAACTTGTAGAAAACAAAAGTTTATCAAAAGAATGCTACATAAGAAAAATAAAGGATAAGTTTTTAAGTACTAAATAGAAAAACAAGTTAAATACAGAATCATGCACGAAGCTGGTGGATCACTAAATACTGACTGATTTTAGGTCACAGGACAAATCCCTAATTATTCCATTCCTGAAGGTTTTTGTTGTTGCTGTAGTTTTAATGAGACAGGGTCTCACTCTGTTGCCCATGCTGGAGTGGAGTAGCACACCACAGCTCACTACAGCCTTTACTTCCTGGGCCCAAGCAATCCTCCTACCTCAGCCTCTGGGACTATAGGCACATGCTAACCACCCAGCTAACTTTTTTTTTTTGTTTACTTTTGTAGAGGCAGGGTCTTGCTATGTTATGCTGCCCATGCTGGCCTCACATGATCCCCCCACCACAGTCTCTCAAAGTGTTGGGATTACAGGCATAAGCCACCATGCCCAGCCTCCACTGTAACCTCTTTCTTGGTATCAACTTCATAAGCAAGATACATTTATTAAACATATATAGGGCCCAAAAGAGGAGTCTGTAATTAAAGAGAAAGGTATATATGCAGTAGCATAAAAATATGAAATAAATAATAAGGTTATATATTATAAACAGGTCAGAGATAAATACAGTAAGGGCCTACATTGGCTATGTTCCTACTTCAACTCAGAAAAATACTGTGAGAAAAATTGATAAAATAACTTTTCTAAAAAAAAACTTTTTTCAAAAAAAAATGACACAAAAAGTACCAAGTACTTAGAAAAAGATGAACAACCCAAATAAAAAACAGGTGCAAGTGAATAGGTTAACAGAAAAGATACATAAATGACCAAAAATATATTAAAAAAAGGCTCAACCTTACTCATGGAAAACTGCAAATCGAAACAATGATTTACTCTTCTTCGACTATGAAGCAAAGATTTTTAAATCTAACACTCTTGTACATACTAGCAATATGTTGCGGCAATCTCAAATGTAACATATCCAAACATTTAAATGCAAATCATGTTTGATCCAACAGTTCACTTCTAGGAACTTACCTTATGGAAATCCCCTTAAAAGTATGCCAACATTTCTATACGAAAATGTCTAAGAGCAAAAATCTGGTAACAGCCTAATAATCCATCACTATGCAGGGAAACCATATAAATTACCATCCAAAACAAGACTTTTTTTTAGTGAAAGAAGGTGCAATTACTAATCATGTAGCAACAACAGGCATAAAGTTGGACATACTGTCTTCGTATCACTGAAGAACTGGTTAAATAAATACGGACTAAATACAATGAAATACTGTGCAGGCATTAAAGAGAGTGAGGAAGATCTCTGTGAATGACACGGAAGATCATTAAGCTCAAAGGCAAGCTACAGAATTGTATATATTATATAATCACTTCTGTGTACACTAAAACTCAAATTTTTATTTTTTCTCCACAGGGAAAGTTCTAAAAACTAAAATTTTAATATTTAGACACAATTTTGCATAATAAAAGCAGTGATATCCGGGAGTATAATCTTGTCTTTTCTGCTTCACTATCCCTTCTTCTTTCCTCCCATTTCAGCACTACACCTTTCCCACCACAAGTTAACCAATGTTAAAAACCTGTAATATACCCTCTAATGTTTCTCTTCTTGTTCATATGTAGACATACACATATATATGAGAGGAGGCATTTAGGCCATCATTTTACACATTTGGAAAAACATGATACATCATTTTGTACCTTGCCTTTTATTCACTCAACAAAGCCTATCTCCATCAGTCAAATAGTATTGTACCAATGCATTCTTTTTAATGGCTATATAATATCCATCATACAGATGTCTTAGTTTATTTGGCTATTCCTCTTGATGGACATTTTTCCTTCCATATATTTGACAATCATAAACCATGCTACGATAAATATTGTTGTACATATGTCCTTATGTACTTGTGGTTCTCCTTTTTTTAGAGACAAGAGTCTCACTCTGTCATGCACACGCAGGCTGGAATGCAGTGACACAATCATGGCTCACTGCAACCTCGAGCTCCTAGGCTGAAGCAATCCTCCTACCTCAGCATCCAAAAGTGCTGGGATTACAGGTATAAGTCACAATGCGCCAGTCTCATGATTTTATTTCTATTTGATAAACTCCCAGCAATGATCTCACTGGATGGAAGAACATTTATCTTTAAACTCAGTAAGTGTTCTTGATACTTTTTCTCACATTCCTTTTAATTTTGGGTAAGTATGATGGATATAAAATATCTTACTAATTCAAATTTCCTTGGCCACTAATAAATTTGAGTATTTTTTCCTTATAATTGTTAGACACTGGGTTAAGTTCTTGTCAACTGCCTATTCATATTCTTCATCCTTTTTTATTAGGTTTCTTTTTCCTGTTAATTTCTAAGAGCTCTTTGTATATTATAGACATTTAACCCAGTCATCTGAAAATTGCTGTGATAAAAGAAAAACAAAAAAAAGTAAAAAAGACAAATAATTGCAAAGCTGATCATTATGCATTTTTACACTATATATTAAGTAACTGAGGTTTTTGCAATTAAAAGTAATTGTGAAAGCCACAATTACTTTTGCACCAATCTACTATATTTGCAATGTGCCAGTGCACACTCATTTTTATTTTTCCTGTAATTTACTATAACACTAAGATTTAAATCCAAACCTTAGCATGGGAAAGTTTAGCTACATTGTAATATTTAGTATATATATAAAACCTAAGAAAATATTAATATATCCAATATTTTTATTAATATTTCATAAATCAATTTTTAATTATGCTGATCAAAAGTTACAGAAGCCTCTTTCAATTATCATGAATGCATTAGAAAACAACATTATTTCTTCATAATTCATTTAAACTTAAAATTTTAAAGACCTGGCATCTTTTACAGTACAGTTTCCCATTTTCTCACTTTTAAACTTTGTTTTCCATTTTTCCCTGTTATATAAACATCAATCATAACAGGGTTAAAATTTCTTCCAACTATACATCTTCTTAAAAATACTATTCACAGCATACAGTTATCCTTTTACATAATTTTTAAAGTTGACAAGACCCAAAATAAGAAGTTATTAGGAAAAAGCATCTTATGTTATTTTTACATTTACTAAAAAATTCATGTTAATGAACAGGCATCCTACATAAAAATTAATGCTAAAAGTATATTGCTTATCATTTGTACCTGTAACCTTATAAGACATTTCTCTGTAGCGGGTCAGGTCTTCTCCATTAACTAATACCAGCTGTGGACACTTTTCTTTTGCATCTCTGACGTTCATAAGTTTCTTAACTCCAAGTTTCCTAGCTTCATAGTTGCAGGTAACCACCAAATATTTCTGTTGAACCCCTATAAAAATATTTTAGGAGAAACTCAAGCACAATTGAAGAAACATTTAAAGACATTATTAATTCCATATTACATTTGTCTAAGTTGTAAGACAGTTTTGATAAGAAGCAAAAGCCCTGTCTCAAAAAACACAGCCTCCAGGAGCAAGATGGCCGAATAGGAACAGCTCCAGTCTCCAACTCCCAGCGCGAGCGACACAGAAGACCGGTGATTTCTGCATTTTCAACTGAGGTACTGGGTTCATCTCACTGGGGAGTGCCCGACGACCGGTGCTGGTCAGCTGCTGCAGCCCGACCAGCGAGAGCTGAAGCAGGGCGAGGCATTGCCTCACCTGGGAAGCGCAAGGGGGAAGGGAATCCCTTTTCCTAGCCAGGGGAACTGAGACACACAACACCTGGAAAATCGGGTAACTCCCACCCCAATACTGCGCTTTAAGCAAACAGGCACACCAGGAGATCATATCCCACACCTGGCCGGGAGGGTCCCACACCCACGGAGCCTCCCTCATTGCTAGCGCAGCAGTCTGTGATCTACCGGCAAGGCAGCAACGAGGCTGGGGGAGGGGCGCCCGCCATTGCTGAGGCTTAAGTAGGCAAACAAAGCTGCTGGGAAACTTGAACTGGGTGGAGCTCACAGCAGCTCAAGGAAACCTGCCTGTCTCTGTAGTCTCCACCTCTAGGGACAGGGCACAGTAAACAATAACAAACGCAGCAGAATCCTCTGCAGACGCAAACGACTCTGTCTGACAGCTTTGAAGAGAGCAGTGGATCTCCCAACTCGGAGGTTGAGATCTGAGGAGGGACAGACTCCCTGCTCAAGTGGGTCCCTGACCCCTGAGTAGCCTAACTGGGAGACATCCCCCACAAGGGGCAGTCTGAAACCCCACACCTCACAGGGTGGAGTACACCCCTGAGAGGAAGCTTCCAAAGCAAGAATCAGACAGGTACACTTGCTGTTCAGAAATATTCTATCTTCTGCAGCCTCTGCTGCTGATACCCAGGCAAACAGGGTCTGGAGTGGACCTCAAGCAATCTCCAACAGACCTACAGCTGAGGGTCCTGACTGTTAGAAGGAAAACTATCAAACAGGAAGGACACCTACACCAAAACCCCATCAGTACATCACCATCATCAAAGACCAGAGGCAGATAAAACCACAAAGATGGGGAAAAAGCAGGGCAGAAAAGCTGGAAATTCAAAAAATAAGAGCGCATCTCCCCTGGCAAAGGAGCGCAGCTCATCGCCAGCAACGGATCAAAGCTGGACGGAGAATGACTTTGACGAGATGAGAGAAGAAGGCTTCAGTCCATCAAATTTCTCAGAGCTAAAGGAGGAATTACATACCCAGCGCAAATAAACTAAAAATCTTGAAAAAAAAGTGGAAGAATTGATGGCTAGAGTAATTAATGCAGAGAAGGTCATAAACGAAATGAAAGAGATGAAAACCATGACACGAGAAATACGTGACAAATGCACAAGCTTCAGTAACCGACTCGATCAACTGGAAGAAAGAGTATCAGCGATTGAGGATCAAATGAATGAAATGAAGCGAGAAGAGAAACCAAAAGAAAAAAGAAGAAAAAGAAATGAACAAAGCCTGCAAGAAGTATGGGATTATGTAAAAAGACCAAATCTCCGTCTGATTGGGGTGCCTGAAAGTGATGGGGAAAATGGAACCAAGTTGGAAAACACTCTTCAGGATATCATCCAGGAGAACTTCCCCAACCTAGTAGGGCAGGCCAACATTCAAATCCAGGAAATACAGAGAACGCCACAAAGATACTCCTCGAGAAGAGCAACTCCAAGACACATAATTGCCAGATTCACCAAAGTTGAAATGAAGGAAAAAATCTTAAGGGCAGCCAGAGAGAAAGGTCGGGTTACCCACAAAGGGAAGCCCATCAGACTAACAGCAGATCTCTCGGCAGAAACTCTACAAGCCAGAAGAGAGTGGGGGCCAATATTCAACATCCTTAAAGAAAAGAATTTTAAACCCAGAATTTCATATCCAGCCAAACTAAGTTTCATAAGTGAAGGAGAAATAAAATCCTTTACAGATAAGCAAATGCTTAGAGATTTTGTCACCACTAGGCCTGCCTTACAAGAGACCCTGAAGGAAGCACTAAACATGGAAAGGAACAACCGGTACCAGCCATTGCAAAAACATGCCAAAATGTAAAGACCATCGAGGCTAGGAAGAAACTGCATCAACTAACGAGCAAAATAACCAGTTAATATCATAATGGCAGGATCAAGTTCACACATAACAATCTTAACCTTAAATGTAAATGGACTAAATGCTCCAATTAAAAGACACAGACTGGCAAACTGGATAAAGAGTCAAGACCCATCAGTCTGCTGTATTCAGGAGACCCATCTCACACGCAGAGACATACATAGGCTCAAAATAAAGGGATGGAGGAAGATCTACCAAGCAAATGGAGAACAAAAAAAAGCGGGGGTTGCAATACTAGTCTCTGATAAAACAGACTTTAAACCATCAAAGATCAAAAGAGACAAAGAAGGCCATTACATAATGGTAAAGGGATCAATTCAACAGGAAGAGCTAACTATCCTAAATATATATGCACCCAATACAGGAGCACCCAGATTCATAAAGCAAGTCCTTAGAGACTTACAAAGAGACTTAGACTCCCATACAATAATAATGGGAGACTTCCACACTCCACTGTCAACATTAGACAGATCAACGAGACAGAAAGTTAACAAGGATATCCAGGAATTGAACTCATCTCTGCAGCAAGCAGACCTAATAGACATCTATAGAACTCTCCACCCCAAATCAACAGAATATACATTCTTCTCAGCACCACATCGTACTTACTCCAAAATTGACCATGTAATTGGAAGTAAAGCACTCCTCAGCAAATGTACAAGAACAGAAATTATAACAAACTGTCTCTCAGACCACAGTGCAATCAAACTAGAACTCAGGACTAAGAAACTCAATCAAAACCGCTCAACTACATGGAAACTGAACAACCTGCTCCTGAATGACTACTGGGTACATAACGAAATGAAGGCAGAAATAAAGATGTTCTTTGAAACCAATGAGAAAAAAGATAAAACATACCAGAATCTCTGGGACACATTTAAAGCAGTGTGTAGAGGGAAATTTATAGCACTAAACGCCCACAAGAGAAAGCAGGAAAGATCTAAAATTGACACTCTAACATCGCAATTAAAAGAACTAGAGAAGCAAGAGCAAACACATTCGAAAGCTAGCAGAAGGCAAGAAATAACTAAGATCAGAGCAGAACTGAAGGAGATAGAGACACAAAAAACCCTCCAAAAAATCAATGAATCCAGGAGTTGGTTTTTTGAAAAGATCAACAAAATTGACAGACCACTAGCAAGACTAATAAAGAAGAAAAGAGAGAAGAATCAAATCGACGCAATAAAAAATGATAAAGGGGATATCACCACCGACCCCACAGAAATACAAACTACCATCAGAGAATACTATAAACACCTCTATGCAAATAAACTGGAAAATCTAGAAGAAATGGATAATTTCCTGGACGCTTACACTCTTCCAAGACTAAACCAGGAAGAAGTTGAATCCCTGAATAGACCAATAGCAGGCTCTGAAATTGAGGCAATAATTAATAGCCTACCAACCAAAAAAAGTCCAGGACCAGATGGATTCACAGCTGAATTCTACCAGAGGTACAAGGAGGAGCTGGTACCATTCCTTCTGAAACTATTCCAATCAATAGAAAAAGAGGGAATCCTCCCTAACGCATTTTATGAGGCCAACATCATCCTGATACCAAAGCCTGGCAGAGACACAACAAAAAAAGAGAATTTTAGACCAATATCCCTGATGAACATCGATGCAAAAATCCTCAATAAAATACTGGCAAACCGGATTCAGCAACACATCAAAAAGCTTATCCACCATGATCAAGTGGGCTTCATCCCTGGGATGCAAGGCTGGTTCAACATTCGCAAATCAATAAACATAATCCAGCATATAAACAGAACCAAAGACAAGAACCACATGATTATCTCAATAGATGCAGAAAAGGCTTTTGACAAAATTCAACAGCCCTTCATGCTAAAAACGCTCAATAAATTCGGTATTGATGGAACGTACCTCAAAATAATAAGAGCTATTTATGACAAACCCACAGCCAATATCATACTGAATGGGCAAAAACTGAAAAAATTCCCTTTGAAAACTGGCACAAGACAGGGATGCCCTCTCTCACCACTCCTATTCAACATAGTGTTGGAAGTTCTGGCTAGGGCAATTAGGCAAGAGAAAGAAATCAAGGGTATTCAGTTAGGAAAAGAAGAAATCAAATTGTCCCTCTTTGCAGATGATATGATTGTATATTTAGAGAACCCCATTGTCTCAGCCCAAAATCTCCTTAAGCTGATAAGCAACTTCAGCAAAGTCTCAGGATACAAAATTAATGTGCAAAAATCACAAGCATTCTTATACACCAGTAACAGACAAACAGAGAGCCAAATCAGGAATAAACTTCCATTCACAATTGCTTCAAAGAGAATAAAATACCTAGGAATCCAACTTACAAGGGATGTAAAGGACCTCTTCAAGGAGAACTACAAACCACTGCTCAGTGAAATAAAAGAGGACACAAACAAATGGAAGAACATACCATGCTCATGGATAGGAAGAATCAATATCGTGAAAATGGCCATACTGCCCAAGGTAATTTATAGATTCAATGCCATCCCCATCAAGCTACCAATGAGTTTCTTCACAGAATTGGAAAAAACTGCTTTAAAGTTCATATGGAACCAAAAAAGAGCCCACATCTCCAAGACAATCCTAAGTCAAAAGAACAAAGCTGGAGGCATCACGCTACCTGACTTCAAACTATACTACAAGGCTACAGTAACCAAAACAGCATGGTACTGGTACCAAAACAGAGATATAGACCAATGGAACAGAACAGAGGCCTCAGAAATAATACCACACATCTACAGCCATCTGATCTTTGACAAACCTCAGGAAAACAAGAAATGGGGAAAAGATTCCCTATTTAATAAATGGTGCTGGGAAAATTGGCTAGCCATAAGTAGAAAGCTGAAACTGGATCCTTTCCTTACTCCTTATACAAAAATTAATTCAAGATGGATTAGAGACTTAAATGTTAGACCTAATACCATAAAAATCCTAGAGGAAAACCTAGGTAGTACCATTCAGGACATAGGCATGGGCAAAGACTTCATGTCTAAAACACCAAAAGCAACAGCAGCAAAAGCCAAAATTGACAAATGGGATCTCATTAAACTAAAGAGCTTCTGCACAGCAAAAGAAACTACCATCAGAGTGAACAGGCAACCTACAGAATGGGAGAAAATTTTTGCAATTTACTCATCTGACAAAGGGCTAATATCCAGAACCTACAAATAACTCAAACAAATTTACAAGAAAAAAACAAACAACCCCATCAAAAAGTGGGCAAAGGATATGAACAGACATTTCTCAAAAGAAGACATTCATACAGCCGACACATGAAAAAATGCTCATCATCACTGGCCATCAGAGAAATGCAAATCAAAACCACAATGAGATACCATCTCACACCAGTTAGAATGGCGATCATTAAAAAGTCAGGAAACAACAGGTGCTGGAGAGGATGTGGAGAAATAGGAACACTTTTACACTGTTGGTGGGATTGTAAACTAGTTCAACCATTATGGAAAACAGTATGGCAATTCCTCAAGGATCTAGAACTAGATGTACCATATGACCCAGCCATCCCATTACTGGGTATATACCCAAAGGATTATAAATTATGCTGCTATGAAGACACATGCACACACATGTTTATTGCAGCACTATTCACAATAGCAAAGACTTGGAATCAACCCAAATGTCCATCAGTGACAGATTGGATTACGAAAATGTGGCACATATACACCATGGAATACTATGCAGCCATAAAAAAGGATGCGTTTGTGTCCTTTGTAGAGACATGGATGCAGCTGGAAACCATCATTCTTAGCAAACTATCACAAGAACAGAAAACCAAACACCGCATGTTCTCACTCATAGGTGGGAACTGAACAATGAGATCACCTGGTCTCAGGAAGGGGAACATCACACACCGGGGCCTATCATGGGGAGGGGGGAGGGGGGAGGGATTGCATTGGGAGTTATACCTGATGTAAATGACAAGTTGATGGGTGCAGCACACCAACATGGCACAAGTATACATATGTAACAAACCTGCACGTTATGCACATGTACCCTACACTTAAAGTATAATAATAATAAATAAATTAAAAAAAAAAACACAGCCTCCATAAATCAAATTTCTATAATGCAGAAACATTAGGTTTTCAAGCTATCTCCTAATTATGAATTATAATATACCAATGTATTATTTTTCCATACCCCACTTTTAATCTCTGGTTGTTTTGTCTCCTTGAAGAAGGAAAGTTATTATTAAATAACAAAACACTGAATAACACAGAATTACAAGTTAGATCAATTATTCATGTACAAAAGGCAATCTGTGTATTACATTTCTCAAATTTAGTAAAAATGAACCTAAATCGATATATTCTATGGAATCTTCAGTGATAACATACAAACCAAATCTCTCTAGGATTTTTTTTCCAGACAATATAAAAGCAGATTAATTTATATTGCCATATAATAGGGCATGTTCTACCAAAAAAAAAACCAGATGAAAATAATTGAGTACAACTAAATACTGGTTGCTGCTAGAAAAACTCAACTTCTCTTCTGAGTAATTTGCTAATATAAAGCAATATAAAATATAATATGTACATGAAATATATAAAACAATTGCCGGGCTACAGCAATTTTTAGGGATCTAATAGTTACCTACTACTTATTGAACTGTTCTATCAAAAATGATTAAATAATCATTTATTTACAGACTGCATAAAAAGTTCTAGTTTATTGGAGACTCAAGAGTGCTAAAAATTATTTGCTCTTCTCTTTTTATACAAGTTTACTACTTGCTTACCACTGTAAGAGTAATGTTCACCTAAAATATGTAAAATACAAACATGTAGAAAAAAAAGGTTATGTCCATTTCTCTGTTAGACATTGTTTCTAAAATTTTCATGTCATAAACAAGGCAAAGAAATGTTATTTTTATATAAAGTTTTTTCATATATCAGGTAACGCCCAAAATATAATCATGGAACCAAAGGTAGTAGTAATTTTAGACTCCACAGTGAACTATTTTAAAAAATCAGATTGGTAGATTTCTTAACTAAAAAAGGAGTTTTTTAATAGAGCATTACATTATATGGCCTCATCACTGCATGTCACTAGCCTGAGTTTGTCATATATTTGTTGAGTATAAATGAAAGACTACTGGTCGGGAACGGTGACTCTCGCCTGTAGTCCCAGCACTTTGGGAGGCCAAGGCAGGTGGATTGCCTGAGTTCAGGAGTACGAGACCACCCAGGGCAACATGGTAAAACCCCGTCTCTACTAAAAACACGAAAAAATTAACCGAGTGTGGTGGCGCACACCTCTAGTCCCAGCTACTTGGAAGACTGAGATAGGACAATCACCTGAGACCCAGAGGCAAAGGCTGCAGTGAGCCAAGATCGCAGGACTGCATTCCAGCTTGGGCTGGAGTGAGAACCCATCTCAACAACAACAAAAAAAAATGAAAGACTACTTTAGTTTCCCCCAAAAAACGCGGAGCATTCACATCCCTCACTTCCCAATAATCATTCATTCGTACTTAATTACACTTTTTTTTATTAAGCATTATCCACAGAACATCTTATATCACAGTGCTACTACTTAGAAATGCCTTCAGGAGAAAAAACTTAAGGCCCATGATTCTAACTTCTTGGCAACCTTTAGGAAGGTTTTAAGATCCTAGACTCACCTTGGCATAGCAAAAACTAGTCACCCCTTTGTTCTTCAGTAAAGCAGCTATGCTGGATTGGGATTTATTAAGCCAAAGTGGGCACAAGAGGGTAGCAGCAAGTGAAGCAAAACTGTTCTTTATGCTTATACTAAAGGAAGAATCTTTCCTGCATGCATGAAAATCTCTTTATCTTTCTCAATTTAAAATATGAATAATAAAAATGATAAAACAAGCCAGTATATCAACAATATCCAATATAAAATTTATTTTGGCTTTTATTTAAAAAGCTGCTTATGTTTTTATGGAAAGTTTGCTGTCTTAGTAAAACTAAGGTTTATGTTCAAAATCCAACTAGTTTGTTAGACGTTACACAATTTAAGAGTTAATTTCAGAAAGGGAAGGACAGATGAACACTTCCATTAAAATGTAATAAGAGGTTGTTTTTTGAGAGGAAAGCCTGTAAAATTTCAAATACTGAGAAAAAGAAATCTGCCCAGCAAACTAAGCTACTAACCAGCAGAGAAAAGTAAAATTTATTCTGCTTTCTCTTCATTTGTTCTGCCAACTACACTATTCTCAGATTCACCACTTATTAAATGAGGCTTGTAAAATTTACACTTGGTAGTGAAGCAAAAATGACCAGCTATAAAGCACTGTAAGAACTGCTTCCAAAATCTTTCTTAATAAGGTTAATAAATCAGTATATAATGAGCATGAGTTGCTAATCTAATCACTATGCAATAAAAATATTATAAATGTACAATTACCTAAAGGTTTGTCTTTTAGCTCTGGATTTGAGATCATTTCTACTTGTGCATAAAAGCAATCCAGATCCACATGTACTATGACTCTGGATGAAGAATTTCGTGTGGGCAACACTTGATCACGAACTCCTGCACAATATGCAAAGAAATAAATTCAGGATGCTTATTATCTCTGAGCAACTCACAGTTCCTTAAAACATGGTACCTGTGAAGGAAGAATGCAGAGCAATGTTAGTTTTTTCCTGGATTATGTGTGAAAGCATTGAAATTACAAAGACATGAAACTCTACTTAGAGTAGGGTTTTCAGTCCTCTTAATTACTGTTTCTTTGTGCACTGCATTTTTCTCAGGATAGTAAAAAGTTTGAGGGGAAAAAATGTGATAAATAATGGATGATGCAAGAGCTGATACTATCACCTGAAAGTTTATAGTAGCTTTTAGTGTAAACCAGAAGGGGCAGAAAAGTTGAAATGACATTGGTTTTCACACAACTTGAAAATTATTCTAAGCAGCATGCCCTTACATTTAAAACAACAACAACAAAAACTGAAATACAAAATGGCAAAAGACAACCAGTGGGTACCAGTGTGGGCTATTTTTAGCTCCCATGACAGCAGGATTACCTGGTTTAATGCTAAATCGCCAGTGCCTAAAACAGTGTCTAGGACATAACAGACCATCAATAAATATTCACTAAATTGAAAGACTGAATAGTTCTTTGATTTTAAAAAGTTGTTAGGTCATGTGCGGGGGAGGGAATGACAGAGGCGACTCCTCTCAACACTGGCTAAAAACAAGACAGGCAAAATACAATACAATATTCTTGTTGGGATCCTGGAACAGAAAATGAACATTAGCAGAAAAACTGGTAAAATCTGAATAAAGCGTGTAGCTCGGTTAACAGTATTATACCAATGTTAATTTCCTAGTTTTGACAAATGTACTGAGTTTATGTCAACACTAGGGGGATCTAGCTCCGCAACTTTCAAGTAAACCTAAAGCTGTTTCAAAACTTAAAAAGGCCAGGCACGATGGTTAACTCCTGTAATCCCAACACTTTCGAAGCTGAGGTGAAAGGATCGCTTGTGGCTGGAGTTTGAAACCAGCCTGGACAACACAGCAACACCTGATCTAAAAAAAATTTGAAAATTAGCCAGGTGTGGTGGCACGTGCCTGTTGCCCCAGCTACTCGGGAGGGAGAGGCTGAGGCAGAGGATCACTTGAGCCCAGGGGTTTGAGGCTGCTAGGAGACCTTGTCTCTAAATTAATGAATGAAAGAAAACCAGCAGGAAATGAGAACCGGTGCCTTTGCATGCAGGCCCTGAGGTGGGCGGTACAAGGTAAAGACCAGAGCGAAAAGTGGGTCACCGGAGACGTGACCACAGCGGACCTGACTCCGCCTAGGTTCTAAGCCATCCCTTCCTGCCAAGACTGAGAACCGGGTCCCACCTTCTGCCAAATGAGCGACAAGGTCCTCAACTTCTCCAAACTTAAAAGGCCCAGAAGCCTCTGCAGTTGTCGTCTGGCTGGCTGAGGGATTCCCGCCCCACCTGGCCCCTCACAGATGACGATGCAGATGCACCCTCGACACGCATTTGTAGTGTGGACACGCCCCACCCTACTCCTACTGGGTGAAGCCATTCCTCTAGAGGTACCCGCCGCGTAACACCAGGCAGGAGGAGGCAGCCCTCTCTTACAGGGGCCGAGCGGGGCGGGGACGGTCGCGCCCCAGTGGCCGCCGCCCAGAGCGTCCGCCAGCCCCACCCTTCTTATTTACACCCAAGGAGGCCGCTGGCTCCTCTGGCTGCGGCGCACCCTGCGAGCTGGCTGCCGCCCCCACGTCCGCCAGTTCCATGGGCCAGGCCTCGGTGTCGCCCTCGTCGCCGCCGCCTTCCTCCTCCGGCCCCAACCCCAGCTTCTCCATCCCGCCGCTGCCAACCGCAGCGCTACTTCCGGCCGCTTCCGCCTGGTCTCCAGGGAAACCGGGGGCGGCAGTCTCCTGCCGCTCCGTACGTCGCGCCTGCGCAGTCGTGGTCGACCAGCCTGTTGCCCAGAGTGACGCGCATGCCAGGGAATCGTAGAGGTCCACGTGCAGGAGTTTTTCCCGCTGGGTGGAGGCCGGAAGCAGAGAGATTGAAAGCACAAGTGACTGTTTGTTTTATTTTTATTTTTTTGAGACGGAGTTTCGCTCTTGTTGTCCAGGCTGGAGTGCAATGACGCAATAACGGTTCACTGCAACCTCTGCCCCCCGGATTCAAGCGATTCTCCAGCCTCAGCCTCCCAGGTAGCTGAGATTAAGACATGCGCCATCCCGCCCAGCTAATTTTTTGTATTTAATAGAGACGAGGTTTTGCCATGTTGGTCAGGCTGATCTCGAACTCCTGATCCACCCGCCTAGGCCTCCCAAAGTGCTGGGATCACAGGCATGAGCCACTGCCCCTGGCCTAACTTTTTTTTTATTTCTTGAAGGCTTTGGAGTGAGGCCAACATCACAAATTTTAACTTTTTATCTTTGTTCTGTTCGGCTGTTAGCAAAATTGCAAATCCCTAGACCTGATGATTAATGTGATGGGGTGGGAAAGAGTATAAATGATAGTAAGAGAGAGGTGGCCTTGTAAGACTCATATGATTAGCAACTATGTTAAGGTTTGCTGTGTTTTGTTTGTTGTTGTTTTATTTAAATACACTGTGACGAATTCAACCGCAGAATTTTTAACATCAAAACTGAATAGGATTTGATACATGAGTGTTGCAGTCAGACAAAATCTCCAATCCAGACTCTCCATCATGCTATGTGACTTTGGGCAGGTTACATAACTGCTGTGAGCCTCAGTTGCTCTACTGTTAAAAAAAAAAAAAAAAAAAAGTATTGAGACTGAATGAAAGGATAAAAGCTACCATATACTGTAATATTCTAATGTATATAAAACATGTGGCACATAGGAAGTGCTCAGTAAATGTCAATTCTCCTTGCCTTCTATTAGGATGCCATGTGTGCACATGTGTTGGTGTGGTGTGTGTATATTTTACAGTAGATGAAATTTGGAAATTCCTCCCTGCCTGTATGTAAGTATATATACTATATCTGTATAAATACCCATATTCACACACATATTTTGTTTTTTGTATGATTCTACTTCTTATCAAATAAAATTTTAGAACCTTGAGAAACCCTTTAAAGCAGCCATTCCCAACCTTTTTGGCACCAGGGGCGGTTTCATAGAAGACAATTTTTTCACAGATGGAAGGGAGGGGGATGGTTTTGGATGATTCAAGTGCATTACATTTATTGTGCACTTTATTTCTATTATTATTACATTTTAATAACGAAGTAGAATCAGTGGGAGCCCTGAGCGTGTTTTCCTGCAACTAGACTGCCCCATCCGGGGTGATGGGAGACTGATAGATCATCAGGCATTCGATTCTCATAAGAATCATGCAACCTAGGCCAGGCGCGGTGGCTCAAGCCTGTAATCCCAGCACTTTGGGAGGCCGAGATGGGCGGATCACGAGGTCAGGAGATCGAGACCATCCTGGCTAACACGGTGAAACCCCGTCTCTACTAAGAAATACAAAAAGTAGCCGGGCGAGGTGGCAGCGCCTGTAGTCCCAGCTACTCGGGAGGCTGGGGCCGGAGAATGGCGTGAACCCGGGAGGCGGAGCTTGCAGTGAGCTGAGATCCGGCCACTGCACTCCAGCCTGGGCTACAGAGGGAGACTCCGTCTCAAAAAAAAAAAAAAAAAAAAAAAAAAAAAATCATGCAACCTAGATCCCTCGCATGCGAGTTCACAACAGTGTTTGGTCTCCTGTGAGAATCTAATGCCGCTGCTGATCTAACAAGAAGCCGCACTCAGGCAGTCATGCCGGCAATGGAGAGTGGCTGTAAATACAGATGATGCTGCACTCCCGGGCCGCTACTCACCTCCTGCTGTGCGGCATGGTTCTTAACAGGTGAGGGACTGGTTCTGGTCCATGGCCTGGGGATTGGGGACCCCCGCTTTAAAGGATATGTTGATGCATCCATAAAGAAAAAGGAATAACAAGCAGAGCTGGGTCTCAGTGGTTTGGAAACGAAATGTTCCTCTTTGCATATTTAATTCTTAAACATCTAGACCAGTTCTTTCAGTCTCATATCTAGGTTATAAATTAGCTATTCAGAGAGTTATGCTGCTATCTTTGTGAATGCCGTTTGGTAAATCTAGATAGTTGTTTGGTGGTTTTTCATTTTATTTATTTATTTAGAGACAGAATCTCAGTCTGTCTCCCAGGCTGGAGTGCAGTGGTGCTATCTGGGCTCACTGCACCCTCTGCCTCCTGCGTTCAAAAGATTCTCCTGCCTCAGCCACCTGAGTAGCTGGGATTACAGGTGTGTGTCACCACACCCAGCTAGTGGTTGTATTTTCAGTAGAGACAGGGTTTAGCCATGTTGGCCAGGCTGGTCTCGAACTCCTGACCTCAAGTGATCTACCCACCTCGGCCTCCGAAAGTGTTAGGACTACAGGCATGAGCCACCACAGCCCAGCCTAGATAGAGAGATTTTGAATTAAGTGTCTCTTTTTCCACTAAGTGCTTCTTGGACAACATTCAAGGGTCTGATTACTAATAGGCAACCGAAGTTTGTTTTTCTTTTCATTCTTCCAGATAGAAAATGATATAAATACTAAAATACTATGGCAGATGAAAACAGTCTCTCTAGAAGAGCCCTAGATTCACTAGCATTCAACATGTTGCTTAAGTGAGACAGTGTTAAAAAAAAAAAAATGCACATAATCAAGCCCTCTTTAGTTATTGCATGTATTTCCCTGTCCGTTGTTTAATTTGAAGAGTGCCTTTTAATTTCGTGGAAGGATAGAAAAGTAGACCCTTGGAAATCCTAGGGGAGCAAGCAGGGCTTTATGAGTGTGTAACGTAGGCAGTCACACAGGGCTCAACACTTGATTTCATATTCTGCTGTTGTCTTGAGATTCTTAATTTTTGAACAAGGAAGCCCCACATTTTCATTTTGCCCTGGACTCCAGAAATTATTTAGCAAGTGCTGGAAACAAGGAAGAGAAGTAGCACTAAAAAGGACACTCATAAAACACCTGTATGTCAAGCACAGGGCTAAAAGCTTGAAACAGGTCATTTCATTCAATACAGTAGCACTAGAGGGTAGGTGTCAGCATCTTCATTTTATCAAAGATGAAACAGCCTAGGAGAGATTTACATGCTTGCTCAAGGCTATTAATCTAGCAATGGCAGATTCACTTTTCAGAATTTTCCACAGCGAATAATTCATTAACAATGTTTTCTCTATAGAGGAAATCAGTTAGGTCTGACCATTTTCCTCACTGCTTCAAACACCAGACAACTTGCAGTGGGGAGAATAAACATCCCTCAAACGTATTAAGAGGCACAAAAATAAAATTTACATAAGCTAACATGTGTCTCTTTGTTGTGGAATGTTTTAGGAAAAAAGGATTTTGGGGTTTAATTCTATAAATCGCTACTCCCAGTTTTAGTTAAGAGGATCTAATCTAGAATAACTTCAGGAAATAGCTATCTTGAGCTTGGGTCATAACTGTATATTTAAGTGCCAAATGAGGAAAACAATTTGAAGGCAGAATAGACATAATTAATTAAATAATAATACGGTCAAACAAAATTAATGGAGGAGCATGGGTTTGCAGAGCATGGCTAGTGGATAAAGAAGCTGGAGGCATTTTAGAGCTTCAGAAGTCAAGACATGCCAGCACAGTGGCTCACATCTGTAATCCCAGCTACTCAGGAGGCTGAGGAAGGAGGATTGCTTGAAGCCAGGAGTTTGAAGCTTCATTCATATATTATTATGCAACTGCACTCCAGCCTGGGCAACAGAGTGAGACTCCATCTTCAAAAAGAAACCAAGAAAGAAAGTCAGCACATTGTGAACTTAAGTACATTTAAAAGGATAAGCATGAACTCCCATGTCAGTGGAGGGTAAGAAATAGGCATTAGTGGTTACTTCTCTGCTGTTAGCCAAATTGGCCACATATGGCTCAGAGGAAGAACTCTAGACAATGTTCAAGGTCTTTCATATGAAGAATGTGAGGGTGTTTGTGAGTGTCTGTATTTTATGTTGGTGGGTGGCTAAGTGGGTAGAGATTGACCATGGAGTCAAAGGAGCAATTTGAATTGGCAAAGGCACAAAGGACTTGATTTTGTGAGGTCTTTGGCCTAATGCAGTCATTCTCAAGCAAGATGATTTTGTTCTCTAGTGGATATTTGGCAGTGTCTGGAGATATTTTTGGTGGTCACATCTCTGGTGTTGGAGCTCTGTGCTACCGGCATCTAATGGGTAGAGGACAGGGATATTGCTGAACATCCTACAGTGCAAAGACAACCCTTTATGACAAAGAATTATTCATCCCAAAGTGTCAGTTCGTCCGTGGTTGGGATACCAGTAGTGTCTACCCCATCTTGCTCCCAACTAGCCTCTTCAGATTAGGGTCTCCAGTTGTAATGAAGAACTGGTCTTCAGTTATGTGCTTTTAATTATAAATAGGACCAGGTTTGGCGACTCATGCCTGTAATCCCAACACTTTGTGAGGCCAAGGCAGGAGGATGGCTTGAGCCCAGGAGTTTGAGATGAGCATAGTGAAACTTCGTCTCTAAAAAAAAGTAATAAAAAAAAAAGTAACCAGGCCTGGTGGGACATGGCTGTAATCCCAGCTACTAGGGAGGCTGAGGTGGGAGGAATGCTTGACCCTGGGAGGTTGAGGCTTCAATGAGCTGTGATTGTACCACTGCACTCAAGCCTGGGCAATAGAGTGAGACTCTGTCTCAAAAAAAAAAAAAAAAAGAAAAGAAAAACACACACACACACACACACACAAAAGAAAAGGAAAGAAAAGAGTGTATAAAA